GAGTCGAGGTGCTTCACAATGATGTCTGGGGGACTGTTTGTGATGAAGGTTGGGATTTACGGGAGGCCAGGGTGGTGTGCAGGCAGCTGGGCTGTGGGACAGCATTATCATCCCCCAAGAAGTCAAAATATGGAGAAGGGAAGGGCCAGATCTGGCTGAGTGATTTGGACTGCAAAGGGACAGAAGGGTCCCTCTCCAAATGCAAGTCAAAGGCATGGGGAGAGAACGTCTGCAACCACGTGGAAGATGCCAGTGTGGAGTGCTCAGGTAAAATCCAGAACTCTTCTACTTTGCGTCCATTCTGTCTGTAGAAAGCTGTAGGGCAATTTCTGAGCCATTCAGTTAGGAGGTTACAGATTCAGAGTGACTTTGTTGAGCTCTATCACCTTGAGCCAGAGAAGCTGTATCACATGCCCTACAGAGCTGGGATTGGAGACATTTGGTCTTCTCCCTCTTCTGACAACCTTCATCCTAGTTTTATTTCTCCACAAACCTTTCTTCTTAGCCAGAAGGTAGGAGGAAAGCCTTTGTCAAGTGTTAGGAATGAGCAGAGAGTTTTGATACACTGTAGGAGATTCTGCTTTCTCCGGGTGGTCAGGGGCACAGAGATTTTCCAAAACTTCTCCCTGGCTTGTTTTGTTGCTTTTTTGTTTGTTTTGTTGTTGTTTGATTATTTATTCAATTACCTATTTATTCCATTTTTAGAAACAGAAATACCTGAGCCAGGGCCACTTCGTCTGGTGGGAGGCCCAAACCGATGTGCTGGAAGAGTTGAGGTTCTTCATGAAGAGCAGTGGGGCAGCGTGTGCCATGATGAATGGGATATCAGTGATGCTCAAGTTGTGTGCAAGCAGCTGGGTTGTGGGGATGCAGTGCTGGCCCCAATTGCAGCAAAGTTTGGGCGAGGAACTGACACCATCTGGCTGGATGATGTGAACTGCACAGGGTTGGAAGCATCTCTCTCTGAATGCCAGGCAAGGCCGTGGGGGGACCACAATTGTTACCACGGGGAAGATGCCAGTGCAATTTGTTCAGGTAATCTTTGCATTCTCCTTTTGCTAGCAATGTGTTGGGATGTCTTTCATATGAATGTGGGTACAATCTTAGACAGGAACAAGGGCTTACTACATAGTACTCCCCAACTGCTGCTGCTGTTGGTTTGGGATCCTTGCACCATAGAAGAGTGTTTCAATTTGGTAGGCTGTCTCCTCACTGTGGTGCTCTCTGTCATTTTTCTCCAGCTCAAGCTAGAGGTTAAGGTGATCCATAAGCATGAGAGGGAGATGATATGCAGCAGGGGCATAAACGTGCACATGCATAACCTTCTGCCTTCCTGAGCATGCCCTCTCTGGATTTGCCCACAGATTCAGGGATCACCATCTCCACTTCAGTTCGCCTGGTGGGAGGCCCAAACCGCTGCTCTGGGAGAGTTGAGGTGCTTCACAACAATGTCTGGGGCACTGTGTGTGATGACAACTGGGATTTACGGGAGGCAAAAGTGGTGTGCAAACAGCTGGGCTGTGGGATAGCCCTATCAGCCCTGCCAGAGTCAAAATATGGAGAAGGAAAAGGCCAAATCTGGCTGAGTGATGTGAACTGCACAGGGACAGAAGGATCTCTCACTGAGTGTGAAGCAAAGCCATGGGGAGAGAATGTCTGCAATCATGTGGAAGATGCCAGTGTGGAGTGCTCAGGTAACCATCTCTGACCCCAACATTGCATGTGCTGAGCAGTGGGCTGGGCAGATCCCACCACACATCAGCTTGAAACAGGGTTCATCCCTAGCCCCTGTAGAAAGGGCAGTAGAGATCTGTGTATATCTGCTGGTGGAAATAGGGACATGGCTAATGAACTCATCCCGTCGCTGACAGCCAGCCCTGTGATGCAGTGGTGACACATGGATGTGGCATGAAATCTTCTCCTACCTGAGACCACTGTGGTCCCTTGTCCCACCTCTGTCCCGAAAGCTTAACAGTCTCCTTGAGTCAGTAGAGCCTGCAGCCATTCATGAATACCAGGAAAACCTCTTTCTGCCTTTTCTTCACAATGCTTTTCTGGGGTTTCTGCTATTTTATTCCCACACCAGAAGAGCACAGGTACTCTTAGAAGGAATCCCTTGGCATATCTCCATTGTGTTCGAACGCCTCTGCATGCTGTCCACAGGCAGTGAGGGATGCTCCCTTAACCTTTATTTTCTCGGCATTTGTGCAGAGACAGATATTTCTGAGATTGGACCAGTTCGGCTCGTGGATGGCCCAAACAAATGTGCTGGAAGAGTTGAGGTTTTACACGAGAATCGTTGGGGTAGTGTGTGTGATGACCACTGGGACATGAAGGACGCCAAGGTGATTTGCAAGCAGGTGGGCTGTGGGTCACCACTCTCAGCCTTGGGAGGTGCTCGCTATGGCCGAGGGCCAGATGTCATCTGGCTGGATGATGTGAATTGCGAAGGGACAGAAGAAAGCATCTCTGACTGTAAGGCAAGGCCATGGGGTGAACACGACTGCTATCACGGAGAGGACGCTTCTGTTTTCTGCACAGGTAGTTATCCATCCCTCTGACACCTGAACTGATGTGGGGACAGAGAGAAATAGTTCTGGCAGATACAGCAGGCTGGAGTGTGGAGGACAAAAGGAGAATCCCGAGGGAATCATGGGAAGGTTCTTCTTCTCAGGATTGTGCCTTTGGAGTACAGCAGGGAGCCATCAAGGATAGGAAACATCTGGATAAGATGGATGTAGTGGACCAGCTGGCAACAGCAGAGCACAAAGACAACCTGACCATGGGATAGGTCACAGGATCACAGACCACTGTTAAGATAGGTTCCCTATATCAAGTTGCACAGGAAAACATTCAGGCAGGTTTTGAACATCTCAGAGTCAAAGGAGACTCCAGAACTGGACACAGTGCTCCAGATGTGGCCTCCCCAGGGCAGAGTAGAAGAGGACAATCACCTCCCTCTGCCTGCTGGCCACACTTTTTCTAATGCACCCCAGGATACCACTGGCCTTCTTGGCTGCAAGGGCACACTGCTGACTCATGGCCAACCTTTTGGCCATCAGGACAACCAGGTCCTTCTCCACGGAGCTCCTTTCCAGCAGATCATCCCCTAATCCGTATTGTTATTCTTCACCCCACCTCCTAGAGTTCAGGACTTCACACTTGTCCTTATCAGAGCTCATAATATTCCTTTCTATCCAATATTTCAGCCTTTCCAGATGTCATTGAATGACACACAGTCATTCATCTGGTGTGTCAGCCACTCCTCCCAGCAAGGGAAGGCAGAACAGTTTCTGGGATAGGAGGCAATGACAAGCATCTCTGGAAAGTAGGAGAAAGACAGATGGAACTTTGTTTGGGAAGAGAAATCTCCTTGTATCATCCATACTCAAGAAATATTTAAGTTGAATGCTCCAAAGCCTCTGTGACTCTAACTCCTCACTTTTAATGTTCTTTCTCTTAGGAGAGAATCTTGGACAGGCCCTACATGGGTGAAAGAAGGAGCCCTTCATGGTCTTCAGCTAGTTGTTGGGCTTTAGGTGTTTATCAGACCCACACTGTGTGCCAGAACCACATGGTTCCCTGGATCAAGCAGTGTGTTGAGCACTGGGTTGAGAGTCTGGTCTTCATGCAGCCACATTCTGGCTCCCATAGAAACTTGTCCAAAGCTCTAGCATCCAGTTTCTTTGCCAATATCCACATGTACATGGATATAATCTAAACTGTAGATCTTCTTGTAGAGCAATGTCTGTATCATTTTTGCCAGCAATTCTGGTGCAGAAGAATTCCTGAGAGGAGATTTCACTTACCCCATCCCCTTTCTTTGCAGTTAACAAGAATCTGGAGGAGACAGAAACATCGTGAATGCCACACTGTCCCCATCAGACTGTGCTCATCTTGTCACGTGAGGTGGGCCAGCAAAGTTCAGTGGAGAAGAATGGCAGAGATGGTACAGAAACTTTCATCTGCCACAATGGAACTCAGGGAATGACAAAACCATTCCCTCACCCTTGAATGATCAGCAAGCTCAGTTGCAACTCCTCCGATGCAAAAGATGGCATTCCCACAAAAAGCAAATATCACAAAGTATCAATAAACTTCCCCTAAATCTGATGTTCTGTCTATCTCACATATTGCTTATGGACCTCAGGTGACTGAGCACATATCTGGCAAGAATATTTCTCCAACATCATGAATACCAAGGTCGTGGAAGTATCTATGCTGAGAAACATTTACTTCTGGTGAGATTCAGTCCTGTAAGGAGGCCATCCATAAAATCATTGGAAAGGGTATTACACAGGGCAAGCTTAGTTTATAGATTCTTCTAGAGAATCAACTGCCTCCTTAGGGAAAAATTCACTCCTTTTCCTCTTTCATTTTTTGTACAGGCTGAAGCTGGCCCTTCACAGGTGGACAATTTCCCATTTTGGGGATGTCCAAACAAGACTTGATGCCTAACACAAGTTATTATCATCTTTTTTGTGTAATTTGATGCAATATGCTTCATGCCCATTAGCAAAGAACTAATGTTTTGTCATAGAAAAACAAAGAGCCAGGGTCTTCATCTCAATATTTAGAGCCAGTGCCTCCAAGCCAAATCAAGCCATTTTTATGGGCAGGTGACATTACAGCCTGTACTGGTTTTATCCTGGACAGAGTTCCTATTCTTCATAGTAGCTGTATGGTGATGTGGACTTAGGATGTGAATAATGTTGGTCAACCAGCAGTGTTGTAATATCACTGAGTGGTGCTTGTGCAATGCCAAGTCCTTTTCAGCTTCTCAGCAAGGAGCTGGGGGTGCACAGGGAGTGAGAATGGGACAGAACCCAGACAGCTGATGCAAATTAGCCAAAGGGATATCTCACACCATATAGTGTCACACTGAACAGTCAAATGGGGGGTGGCTGGCTGGTGGGGGGACCACTGCTTGAGGGCTGGCTGTTCATCATTAGAGCAGAAACAAAGTGAATCTCATGGTGATATGACCATGACACAGAGCATCAGACAGACTCACAGGAGCAAGACAGAAATTTCATTTATCTACAGAAACATTTTGGGGGATTAAGGTGAAAAACAGCATAGAAATGGTTTAAGGCTTGGAGGGAATGTTGCAGAGGGGCAAGAGGCTCAGAGGGAAGGTTGCATGAGGAATTCATGACAACCGCTAAACCTCTTCTGTAGGAGGGCACTGGCTACACAAGAGAACCTCAATATATAACGTATCCATACCACCTGAACAAGAAAGCTTTCATGGACTAGAGGCAATATCATAGGGAGAGGATGAAGTGGCATGGGAACTGTATGGTCACTAGGGCAGAGACATCTGACAAGAAATGTTGCAGAGCAAGTGTCCACTTGTGTCCTCCAAATATTCCCTCCATCCCAGAGAGAACATGTCTTGAAACTTAATTTGTAGCAGGCAGTAACTTAATTTACAGTCAGTAGAGTGAGAGAAACTTCCGAAGTTGGCCTGAAGTTGCTCTGTGTGACTGCCCATATCTCTTTATTAGCTGAAGGGGACCATCAATGCTCCTGATTTGGGCACATCAGCTTGGTGCTTACAATTCAGTGAGATAGATCTGAGTGTCGTGATTGGCTTCTGTACTGGGTGCACTCTGTCCTTCAAAGATGTCTTCTGTTTGCGTTGAAAAAATGTCATACACGTTTGCCAGCACTGTCATCTCTCTCCTCCACTCTAGAGCATCTGCAATGTTTAGATTCCACCTGGAAAGAAATGCATACAATCCAGACCTGTAAAACTAGCTTGCTTTCCCCTGCAAGGCCACTTAAAGTTAGTAGTATGCATATAATTACATTAAAGAATCACTGAATCATCAAATCTTAGAATCCCAGAATGGCTTGGCTTGGAAGGCACCTGAAAGATCATAGAATCATAGGATGGCATGAGTTGGAAGGGACTATGAAGATCATCAGATCCATCATAGAGAAATAGGACTGTGGAATCATAGAATCATAGAATGGCTTGTGCTGGAAGGGACCCATTGAGTTCCAGCCCTCTTCTATGGGCAGGGTTGCTGCTCATCAGATCAGATTGCCCTGTGCACCATCCAACCTGGCCTTCAACATCTCCCACTTGGACACCTTCATGTGCAGACTGCTTTAGGGATCCTGCTTTGAAGGGAGGTTGGACTTGGTGATCACTAGGGAACCCTTTTCAATCCCTATAATACTGTGGTTCTGTGATTCTGTAATCCCCAGGGATGGGGCATTCACAGATTCTTTGGGCAACACAAGCATGTAACTGATAGCGATAGTGATAGTTCAAAAGCACAAAAAGCAAAAATAAGTAGCGATGTGGAGAGATGGGAATCATCCCTCAAAACGCCAAGATCCAACTTCACGTCTCCATCATCGTCCCATGGCAACATCTCTGAGAAAGAGATGTGAATGAACAAACTACTGCAGGGGAGACTTAGATTGGATATTGGAAAACAGCTTTTAATGATGAAGGCAGAGAAGCACAGTCACTGATAGCTCAGAGAGGTGGTGGATGCCCCGTCCTTGGGGACATTTGAAGGTTGCACCATAATCTGAGCAGCCTCATCTAGCTCACCAGTTCTGTTTGTTGCAGGGGAGTTGGACTAGGTGAACATTAAGTATCCATCCCAACTCAAACTATGATTCTATGATTCTACGATTGTGAAAGAATGAAGAGCCACCATACCCCAAACCCAGATTAGAGGCTGAGTTGCTACAAATGCCCTGAATGGTGGGGCATGCATGAAGCTTACCAGAGCAGACAACGCCTGCATCTTCTTCATGGTTGCAGTTATGGACTCCCCAAGGCCTTGCTGCACATTCGGAGAGCGCTGATTCCCTGCTGGAGCATTTCACATCATCCAGCCAGATACGGCCAAAGCCTTGCCCAAAATAAGCGGATCCGGGGGCTGACACGGCTGTCCCGCAGCCCAGCTGCTGGCACACAACCGCAGCATCGCTCAGGTCCCAGTTGTCATCGCACACTGTTCCCCACTGCTGGCCGTGAAGCACCTCAACTCTCCCAGCACAACGACTAGGGCCGTTCACCAGACGGAGAGGAGCTGCTTCTGCACTGCCTGCACATAAAGCAAGATAAAATGAGAAATGCACACATAATGCCCTGCAGCTGAACCCTAAACCTGCTGAGAGTAGACACGTAGTAGTGTCCCTGTACCAACCAAGGTGCCCAATGGATGAAGAGGACATTCTGGGAGGGCAAGTCTTCTCCCATAGTCAACCTCATACTCTCCATCATGCTCTGGGTTGCTGAAATATCTTGCTTATGACTCAAGATTGCTGTTTTCCCATTCGTTGTCAGCAAGACATGTTTGTTACCTGGTGTGCAATGAGCCAATCTCACACACACAGATGAGGTGTTGGTTTAGTATGAAGATGGGGCTAATCTTCCTTTCTGCTGACTATGCTGGTCATAATGATTAAATACATCTCTACTTTGTACATTTCAGTGATGTCCCCATCTTTGAGTACAAGCTGAGTAGCCAAGCTATGATCAGGAGTTTCTTTACTTAATCTCTTTTAGTAGTCTCAAGTGTGGTCAGCTGATCCTAGACAAAAGCCTGGATTTTCTGTATCTAAGGGAGCCCGTGTAAAGACTTGTAGAAAGATTAATTCCTTCTTGACTTTCAGCACATTGAGGAGGATACTGCTTCATCCCTTCCAAGCAGACACGTTTCCAAGAGTTTACTGAACAACTTTGTGACACTGAACACCATTCTTGCTCCATATAAAGAGCAATCTGCCCTGCCAAGCTCAGGAATAAAAATTTAATGTTGTCTATGGATATTACAGATGTAACCCATGCAAATGGATATATTTGGCAACCTCCAGCTAGTTTCTGTTTCCCATCTGAATCGCCTTGGGGAATCTTTGCCATTCTTCAGCTCTCATGTCAGAAGAGTGGAAATCCGATGTAGGTGTCTGCGTTCTGTTGGGCATTCCACTATGTATTATTGTATGCTGTATATAGCACTGTATCTTGTACTATTTAATCCAGGTTCAGATACTAGGATCCCTGAAACTCAGCGGGGATGAGATGTTTCTGGGATCATTTTCAACCCTGGAAAAAGTCCAGGAGCCTTCAGAAGCTGAGGTACAGGAGACTCAGCTTGATACAGTTATCAGATGCAGGTCTGATCATGGTAACCCAGATTCTGGTGGTGATTGTGGACCATGATCAGGGCCATGTAGATTATACAAGAATCAATTTATAGACCACAATGACTGACAGCAGACATTAGGAGCAGCCTGAACTCAGAGAATACCTCCTACTGAGTCTGAAAATCATTTTTCCAGGTTTCCCAACATTTTTGAGACCGAGAAACAGGCAGGAGTTACCTGAACACACCACACCAGCATCTTCTCCATGATTGCAGTTATGGGATCCCCAGGCCCGGAACCGGCACTGCGAGAGGGCAGCCTCTGTCCCTGCACAACTGACATCATCCAGCCAGATGGGGTCAGAGCCTTGTCCAAAGCGAGCTGAGACAGGGGCTGATATTGCTGCCCCACAGCCCAGCTGCCTGCACACAACATTGGCTTCTGCTTTATCCCAGCCATCATCACACACAGTTCCCCACTGTTGGTCATGAAAGACCTCGACTCTCCCAGAGCAGAGACTTGGGCCACTCACGAGCCGGATGGGAGCTGGTTCTGTAATACCTATGAAAAAAACAAAAACAACCCAAAACATGGTCAGAAACATGAGCACAAATCCTCAAAACACAACACAAGAAACTCCAGGGACATGGACAACCTGCAGGAACCAAATGATGTTAATCAAAGCCAAACACAGGTTGTTGTACTTTGGTTAGGGCAATCCTAGATATGCATTCAGACTGAGAGAAAAACTCATTGAGAGACGGGCTCCCGAGATGGACCTGGGGGTTCTGGTGGGTGAAAAGCTTAACTAGAATCAGCATTAAGTGCTCACAGTCTGGAAGCCAACAGTCCTCTGGGCTGCATCAACCGGGGGTGGTAGTGGGGAGAAAGGGGATTGGCCCTCTCTGCTCTGCTATCCTGAGGCTCCATCTGTAATACTGTGTCCAGGCCTGCTATCCCCAGCACAGGAAAGAAGTGGAGATTGGGAGCATTTCCTGGATGACATGAAGATGCTCATAGGCCTGGAGTACCTCTCCTAAGGAAACAGGCTGAGGGAGTTGGGCTTGCTCAGCCTGTAGAAGAGAAGGTTGAGCAGGGATCTTATCAATGCTTGCAAATATCTGATGAGCAGGTTTCAGTGATTGGGACCAGGCTTTTTTAGGTCATGTCTACCAACAGGAAAAGGGGCAGTGGGCACAGACTGGAAACCCAGGCAGTTCCATCTGAACACGTGACAGAACTTCTCAACGATGAGCATGACATAACCCTGAAACAAGCTGCCTAGAAAGGTTGTGAAGTCTCTGGAGATAATAAAAGCATTCCTGGACGCTTTCCTGTGCAATTAACTGTTGGAAAATTCCTCTAACAGGGGGTCTGTGATTACGTGAATTAACAGTACCTGAGCACACCACACCAGCATCCTCTCCATGGTTACAGTTGTGCTCTCCCCAAGGCCTGACTCGCCTCTCAGCAAGGAAGGTTTCAGATACTGCACAGTTATCATATAGTTATCACATCGAGCACAGCCAGGCGCTGATATTGCTGCCCCACAGCCCAGCGGCGTGCACACCACTTGAGCATCTGTTAAATCCCAGCTGTCGTCACACATGGTTCCTCATTGCTGCTCACAAAACACCTCAACTCTCCCAGAGCAGAAATCTGAACCGTTGACCAGCCGGATGGGAGCTGGTTCTGGAACACCTGAAACACAATGGAAAAGCAAGGTAAGTTATTTTGGCAAAGACATTCCTTCCAGGCACATCAGAAAATATTGTGTGCACTAGTTGATTTAGTTGACACCCAGGGACAAGCATCGAGAAGAAGGTTCAATGCTATTGGATTTCCTTACACATGACCCAAAGGTCAGGAA